GAGTACTCGCATTTCTGCAACTCGTGATTGTACTGCAATCGACCACCATGCACTACCACGCAGGCTACTTGCCTACTACTCTGGGTGGGAGATTCGTCCAGCACACTTCCAACCTCCAAGTGCACCCTGACTTGAATCAGTTCGGGGTGTAGGGTCCAGGAAACTGGGTTCAGGCTTTAGGGCTCGGGATTCTGTGCTGTTATTGTGCACCCACCTTCTTGTAGTAGCAGCCAAGGTTGTTGCACGTCACCGACATCAAGTTGGTTGGCTCGTCCTCCCCCGAAGAGTATGCACTCGGAACCCGACCATGTCGCCAGCACTTAGCTCCGAGGTGTTTATGTCTTAAGGTTTAGGTTGTAGGGCTTCATCAAGGGTTCGGAATATTTAGTAACTGTGTACCCTCAGTGTCCCAACATAACTACTTGGAGGAAGATATATATCCCAAACCCTGCTCTGGCTGTCAAGGTCCTGTATTAGGGTTTGGCTTGGGGCTTACACGGTGCGTGGAACCAGGAGTCCCGTTCTGACTCTGACTTTCCTGTGGGTTCGCTGTTTTCGGAGTGCGTGCCTTAGGTTGCATTCGAAGCTCGTGGGGTTTTCGGGGCATTATTGCATGAGGATCCCTTATGAATGAAGGTATACGGCAATGGAGCATTCATACTTATCCGGCCTAGTAAAGGAACTATCGGTGAAACTTTTGGATTTAGGAGGAGTATACTTCCCTACAAGACTTTGAGTGATTTTCTTCTGGACTACTCTGTTATCAGGGACTTTAGAGAAGTATCTCAAAAATCAATTTACTATTGAAACCTCGATCACGAATTTCGGCTCTGGGTCGCTGGATGCAGCCCTATCCTCACGGACTTCTGCGGGCGACTCTCTCGTTATGGTTAGTCAGGTGCACAGGCTCACGCGGCATAGGAGCATGACCGAGACCGGCCACGCTGCCCGATTCCTGAGCTAAGCAGAAAACCCTAGATAAAGGGCCTAGTTGGTCAGGAAGCTGAAACACTGATCTATAGGGTTTTGGGCTTTGGAGTTTGGAGATGTTGGGGTGGTTCAGGGTGCGAAGTGACTCGAAGACGAACAGATCCGAATTGCTCTACCTAAACTCCTCGGTCCTGAATGGAAGCTCCCCTCCCTTTCAACCCCAGGCCCTGAAAAACTCGCCCACCCTCCAAAAAAATACCCTCCATGAGCCCCCGAATCCGAAAATTCCCGACATTATCACAACACTAGAAAGCCAGTCTTTCAATCACACGCAGACACATGTTTGTTCCAAAAAATGATGCTCCGTTCAGTCCTGGCCCTGCTTGGAAGCCTGGGAGTTTCAAGGGACGTCAGGATTTGGGAATTGTATCGTGTGTTTTTTGGGAGGGTTTGGGATTTGGGGTGTGGTTTCGGGTTTCTGGCTGTACTGCGGTTCTGCAGTGATTTCGCATGGGTTTTATGAGTGTTTAGCTGGGGTCATGCAAAGGTTTTTTTGCGGTTGTGCCACAGGGCTTGTATAGTCTCCTGGGTTCTTGTGGGCTTAGGACGTTGGATTTTCTTGCCAAGGCGACGGCTTCGCCTAACCTATAGGCTAACTACACAGCGCCTGGCACAAAACCACTATCAAACATACTGCAAACCTACCCATTACTTGCGTGCTTCGGCTTCGATAGGGGGTTTCGGACAAGGTCTTCGAGGTTTAAGGATTCGAGGGTTTAAAGTTCGAGGGCATGTTGTTGAGGGCTCAAGAGCTGCGAAATGAAAGCTTGTGTTTATGTGTTTGGGTTTAGAGCGCTCAGGGCTAAGGGCAAGCAGACTAGGATCAGCTTGGGTAGGTGTGTGTGTGTGTAAAGCTCGTGGCTTGAACAAATGTTACCACTAGGTGCTTGGCTGCTGCGGAGGTTTTGAGCCCAAGATGAACGGCTTACAGACACACACAGACACAGAGTCGGGAGGGCTTAGATCTTGGGGTGCTCAAGCTCCTGAGAAGGCAGGAGTAACTCGTGAGCTATGTGCGGTGCCATCGCCAAGGTTGCCATACACTGCTGGTTTTAAAACAAATACATGCCTGAGCACTGTACAGGTACACATGCATACACGTAAACGCATATTCATATCTATATATATATACACATAGACCTGAAACTTGACGTGGCAAACTTCTGACCCTTTCAGACCCTCTGAAGCCTGGATGCTTATGGAGTTTTTCTAGATTACCAGTAGCCTTGCTGAACCCTGAGCAAAGCCAAAATCCTGAAACATGAGATCCTCAAGAGGATCTTCGTGAGCTCAGAAGAGCTCCGCTTTGCCATCAAGCGGCCACGACAGCTTCCGCATATTTCAGCTGCTCGAAAGCTGGCGAAGGGGGGAACGGTAACTCGTAAACCCGGGCTCAGGGAAAAGAGTGTAGGGGCTGTAGTGCAGGAACCGACCGATGCTTGTGCGTGAGTCTGGAGATGTCTGCTACAAGGGGTTGTGCCCGACGACAACTTCGGTGTTCCCAGGTGCGCTTACATTACCTTCGGGCTGAAAAAGGCGAGATGAGTTGAACGCCTGCTGGGAAGAAGGATCGAACCGTGAGGCTGTAGCTCCAGAACCTTAGACTGCAATAAGAGATTGAAGCTGTGAAACTGCTTGGTGGCAAGTCAATACTGTTGAAGCTAAAGGATAGCCATGATAGAATGTTGAACCCAGACATGTGGTCCCCGGAATTCTTTGAGATTCTGAGTCATGCGAGCTCGGTGATGTAGCCATCGCAACCTAGTTGCGGGCCAGCCTAAGCCCTGAACCCTACACCCCAGCACTTCCAATGTCTACAACTCTAGGAAAGCCTTGCTTGAACTGCCCCCGCCGCAGGAAGTCCATTCCTTCCTGGCCGGAGAGCTTTCTGTCAGATCAGTCTTACAATGCAATGGCCTTAGTAGGGTTCTGGGGGATTTTGGAATCCATTTTTTACTAAAGAATCCCAGAAAATAATATTGTATTGGTAGTTAAAAAATTGTTGGGCGGGCTTTTCGGGTTGGGATCGCAGGTTTCTGTTTGTAGAATTATTGAAGCGCGCCCCGCTGTCTGCTCTACACTTGCCCCCGGCCCAAAGGTGCTCGCAACTTGAGGTGATGCACAAACAACCTCGCCTTTAGGGCCTTTTAGGGATCAGAAGGACCTGTCCAACTCGGAGGCAAACATCGAGTTACAAGAAGGACCAGCCGAAACCTAAACTGCATACCACGCCTTGGGGTTTGGGGTTTAGGCTTTGAGGTTTGGGCGTGCAGTCAGGGGACAATCCAGAAGCGAATCCACCTTGTGGATGAACTACAAAAAGAACTACACGACGGCTCATCGAACTCTACCGCGCATCGCAGCTTTCCTGAAAAAAGCAAACCCCAAACCCGAAACCCAAAACTTGAGGTCTTCGTAGCATTGTATAGGAGCGAGCGAAAGAACGAGAGAGGGAAAGAGACCTGAGCGTCATTACTATGAGTCTGACGCTGTGGTCTCACCGGCCCACTAACTTAAACGCTGAACGCCGAACCAAAACGCAAAACAGAAACCCTAAAGTCCCCTAGCGCCCCGACCCTAAATCCCAATCCCCAGAAAAGTCCTTGTTGCTGTTGAGGACCAACTGTTCATAGTCCTGGTATTGCAGGGCAGGGCCGGTCCTGTGCAGCACCGAGGGGTCAATGATGCGGTCCCTGACGACGACCAATGACGATCGCCAGCAAGAAGAACATACATACATACATACATACATACATACATACATACATACTTTTCGCACTTTCCGCGTTGCAAAGATCAATCTTGGCTATCGCGCATGGAGGACAGGTCTCTGACCCGGCACTGCTGTGTGTTAGCACACATCCTCCCCCCAGCTCCCAGCAGAAGCCTTCAAGAAGAAAGTACCCTAAGCCCCCGACACTAATGTCCTGGAGCAGGGCTTCGGCCATCGTCTCCATGTTTATACACGAATAAGTAAGTATCCTGACAAAACAGATTAACACTAGATTGAGACAGGGGAACAGCAGCACAACCGTCGTCCGTAATCCAATACTGACAATCGTTATGGTTGTAAAGGATGACTCTATAATGGCCGTGGGTAGGGTCATTGCCCAAATGAATCACCACAGAGGTGAGTAGGAAGCGTTCCATTCGACAGTGAACATCCTCTTGAAACACCGGGAAGTCAATAAAAGGGGTTGGTTGAACCCTATAACGACGTTTAAGGGAGCATTGTTTGACTTCATCATAATGGAAGCGACCTACCTGCACTATTAGCGAGGAGGGAGGAGCCAACGCGGCATGTCTCACATCTTGATTGTGCCAGTTGCGAACAAGGTCACCAACCGTAAAACTCGTACAGGAATCAAGTTCAATGTCACAAGGTGGAGTCAGGCCAAGAGGAGCTGACCTGCCTCCATCAAGAATCTGGAGCCCGCTGTCACTCCCCCTCCGCGCTTGCCAAAACAACTCAACTTTGTCTGCCCTGATGTTCGGGCTTTGCATGATATACAAAAGGAACTCAGCAGCATCATGCTGTTGCCTCGGTGAACCCCATTGTTCCATCATGGCCCGCCATCTGGCATCATCCCATAGATGCGTTAGTGCAGTCCCTGCACTGCACGCATCCCACACCAGGCCTCGTAGAGGTCCCCGAAAGAGGCCTGGGGCTTCGAGCTGACTGTCCAGTGCCGCGAGGCCGATGAAGATAGCATTGGCATAGCAGAAGTTATGCCTGTTCCCCAATCTGAGCCGCCTCACCTGGTCAAATCCGAGAGCCGCTTGGCCAAGGCACTCATTTGCATCCTCTCCGGCCTCAGAAAGCACCCTGCTGCCGCCCATGCCGCTGACCTGGCCATGGCATTGAGGTACTTCCACGTCGTGTGGGCGGAGGTGGTGCGAAGCCCGATTTCCAGGAACATGCTCACCACTGGTGACTTGAACTCTGCCGTGAGGGGCCGCGTGGCGTGGAACCTTTGTATCACCAGTGGCTTGGCCGCCTCGATCAACAGCTAGTCCAGCGCCGCGATGATCTCCTGGGGCGTGAGGCTCTCCACCGTCTCGTCCCTGACATGTTGCTGTTGTACCGTATCCCAGCGGAGTCCGTGCACCTTGCTGCCATCCGCCGTGATCCATCCAAGGCCCTCCGCCATCGATCGGGATGACGGCGTCTTCATCATTGCTGTAAATTTCTCCTTCACGGATTCGATGAAATGTTGGTACAATACAACTCTCATCGGGGCCTTCAACAGGTCCGGGTTGTTCTGCTTGGTGCTGTGCCACTGTTGGCCGATTTGGTACAATGCTTGGGCCATGTTTTCTGGAGTTCGGGTCTGGATAAAGACCATGAACCCAGTATCTTGACGCTGTATAGTCTGTTGGGCCTCGTGCCTGATGACCAAGCTGGAGAGGAGGCCCACCACCGTCTTCAGCTCTTGAATCTCCGTCTGCTGGCCCTCCGCGGAGTCCTCGGCATGGTTCGACCGGTTGTGTTGTCCCCGAGCCTGAAGCGGAGCGCCTGAGGGGCCGTAGGAATTGTCGGATGGCTTGGGTCCCTGTCGGTGACGCCCCTTGTGGGGCTGACCTCCTTTGTGACTGGGCCTTTGCCATTTGGCCGGTCGCGCTTCCCAGTGGGGCTGCGGATTCTCCTTGTCCGAAGAGACCGTCCAATCCATCGGGAGGGTGGACCGGAGGAGGTTGAGCTCCTGGGTTGCCATCATCAACTCCGTGGGGGTTGTCCTTTCGCGTCTCTCGAACATGGCCTTCAAGAGCCGCTGCCGGGGTTCCGGTGAGCGTGGCGGTCCTACCCCTGGCAATTCTGCGGTGCAGGTAGAACCCGTTGAACACTCCTACGCGCGCTCTCAAGTGAGCATCTTTCCGTTTGTATGCTTGACCACAGTACTGACAGGGGTTCTGTATGCCGAGGCGGCTGTCTTTGATTTCCTGGATGCAAGCCTGTACCAGTGCCGTACATTCCGGGTGCTTCTTGGCCATGTGTCTGCGAACATATTGGGGTGAGGTACACCAGTGATTGCATTCAAGACAATGGTGGTGCTTTGCCCTAACTGCTGGGAGAAGTGCCAACGACTGCCACTTACAATCCTTAGCCAGTGCAAGCACCTCCGGGTCCTGGACTAGTGCCTCCGTGAGCAGAGGGAGCACAGTCTGCTGTGTTTCCGCACTGCTGTAGATGGCTCGCAGAAACTCGCAGCTTCTTGAGTTGACATGATAATTGAAAGCATGCCAAGTGCTGAACTCATGCAGGCAGTGCTTACATTGGGGCATCCCATCCTTGGAATGAGCCATCTCTGCTCCCTTGATGGAAGACTGTACTTCTTGAACACGCTGCTGTTGCTGGGCCTCGTCCATATGGTTCGTGTAGACATGTCTTCTGAGCGCCGCTTGGGTTGAAAATTCCTGTCCACATTCCTCACAACAGAATGATTCATGTAGTACCTTCTCCACCGGTTTGAGCGTGGTTCTCATTGAGCTACTTTGTGTGAGGCTGTCGGGGGCCCAGCAACCGGAGCCCTCAGAGAGATGCCCCCTCACGACCGTGCGCCACTGAAGCTGGGCTTCACCTGGGGCAAGAGGACCCATCAGCCATTGGTCTAGGGCCTCTCGTTGGGTGATGGCATTTTGTAGGCGCCTGACCGGGTCCGTCAACTTGAGCCGCTGGATGAAGGCTTCATTCGTCTCCTTTGTCAGCATGCTATGAGAGTTTGCGACCGATCTGGCTTGTTTGACAAGCTGCGTGTTCACCTGTTGAAGTTCCCTGAGTGGGAGGCCCGTGCAGTCCAGGGCATGAAGTAGGGTGGGCCAAACGCAGCCCTGCCAAAGTTGCAACCGTAGTTTCAAAGGAACCGAGCGGTTGCGCAGGATGACACCGAGTCGGGAGAAGGTGTTGCGGGCCAGGGTTAGCCTGTGCTTGACAGTAGCTTGCTCAAACTTTCGAAATCCAATGACCGCCCCCAGATAGACATGCTCTGACACAATCTTCAGGTGAAGCGGTTGTTCATGGATCATAAAGCGGAAGCATTTACCCTGAGGCTTCTGTACCACATATCTATCCAGCGCTTTGGCAGCATGAGCTCCCTGTAGTTCAAGGACTATAACTGTCTTGTCCGGGCTAATGGTAAGACCATGACCCGCGAGGAACGTGAGTATGTACTTCATCGCTTCATAGGCCTTCTCCAGGTCGCGGCCTTCACGAATGGTCCATGCATAATGGAGATCATCAGCATAGCTGGTGTTGGTGCGTTGAACATTCAGGATCTCAGGTCGGTGCATCTTCTTGAGCAGCCACCCACTGTACAAGGACCACAACGTGGGTGCTAAGCCGCATCCTTGCCGCAGTCCTCGATACAATGACACAACCTTTTGCATACCACAATGCGTGACCGTGAACTTGGCGCAGTGATGGATCAGCATTACCGCCTGGATCAGCTCCGGAGCAATCTCGGCATCTTCCAGGGCCAACCTCAAAGACGACCATGCAAACTCTGATCTTGTAACGGCTTAGCCTCCTCTGCCTGCATGTACTGCTGGATGTTCTGTTGCAGGATATGAGCAAAGGGCTCCCGGCGAAGTGCCGCCTGCACCTGCTTAGGGGCCAATCGTCGATTATGCTCAGATGGCTTGGGGCGGTGCGGCCTGGGAACTGATGCCCTGACAGGCAAATGCCTGCAGCCGCTGGTCGGGACAAAGTCCGCCATAAAAGGGCCAGACGATCTCGAAACTGGATCCGCTGTAGCTGTGCGATGAATCACGAAGTCAATCTGAGTACCCTGCTGGTTGTTTGCATGAGGTGGGAGATAAGTTCTCGCCATTTTGCCTCGTGCAGACCACGTGTTTAGCGCACAGCACCGGTGGGTTCGTAGGACTTCCTGAAACACAGACTGGTCTTGATGTTGGGCACCTTGTCCTTCCGGGACCCCCCGACCACAAATGTGGTCCTCCGTCGTGAGGCCTGAATTGAAGTCCCCCACCAGCAGACATGTACTTCGTTGAGGTATACCTCCTAGCCATTTGTCGATGCTTTGCCAAACTCGGCGCCTCTGTTTGACCAGTTCATCGACCCTGTTCTTGCCCTGGAGTTCTGCCTTGGCTGGATTCCAGGCCCATTGGTATGTGCAAAGTAGGTCTACCGGTGCCTCGAGGAGGAGGCGTACATGTAGTAGCCGTCCTGGTTCAAGGATCTGATACCGTACCCGATCAGACTGGATCAGTCCGACCCTGATTAGACACAGCACTCCATCATGGCCTTGGCCCGCACTATGGACTGCATGCCATGTGAGGTCCTTGGGGTCCTCCGAGGACGTCACGAACTCTGCGTCCTCCTTCCATGTTGTCTCTTGTAGGACACAGATGTCGTACGTGTGACCCCTGTCGTGTTCTTGTTGAAGCCATATTAGGATCTCCTTGCACTTGACACTGTTGAGTCCGCCCGTGTTCCAGCAAAGGATCTGGAGTCGGGGTTGTGGTCCAGCTGGAGGGGTGTGGGGCTTGAAGTGTTCTCGCTGAACCTTTCGGCCGCCTTGTAGCTGGCCCAGATGGAGGAGTCGACCTCGATACCATGTTTGGTGAGTTGGATTGGCTTTGGCTCTGGTGATCGCTCTGAGCAGCGCCCTCTTCTTGGTGGGAGGGGGGTGCTGATGGTTTGACCGGTCGGGGTGACTAGTTGCACTTGGCTTCGCCCCGCCATGTCTGAATATGAACTGTGTTGAGGCTTCCGAGTCCCTGTAGTGCGCAGCGGACTCAACCCTCACATCTGTAGCAGCCACGCCGTTCATCATGTTCAGGTAGATCAACAGCACAACATACACAATCATACTGATTCTTGATTTCTGGCTGCTACCCTGGGACTTGGGACCCAGGCGGCTTCGTCTGGATGTCGTCGATAGCTCTGTCGGGAGACCTATTGCGGGACGGGTGAGTACTTCTCGGCCTGCCGTGGTAGTCACTTGGCCTGTGCTGGCGGCCTCCAAAAGGAAGAAGAAGGAGGCGCCAAGGGTGATGAGGTGGGTCAACAGTCTGGCCAGGGATGCGCTGATATACACAGTTCCGCAGTTCAAAGAACTCCAGGATCCCCGCCACATAGTCCGGGACGAGGGCATTCTGGACCTGGCCATGCACGGGGTAGTCACTGTTGGGGGTTGCAGGCCCTGCCGAGGAAGTGTAAGACGTCGAAGAAGCAGAGGACTGAGAGCAGCTTTTTGATCCGCTGGCCGTACAGTAGGCTGGCGCTCTGGAACGGAAAGGCTACGGAGGGCCACATCTGTGCCATCTATGTGGCAAAGCTGCTTTCGGTCAAAATCCGGATGGCCCTCCTCAGCTTCCTTAAGGCGGCAGGTTGCCGGTTCCCTTTCACTCCTCAGGTTCGCGTCCTCGCCTGGGCAATTGTGACATGATGCAAGCATGCCCCGGCGCTTATCCTGGTGCATGGCCCTCAGCTGACCGGCTACTGTACTGTCATATACACTGAGCTGTGCAAGGTAGGCCTCCCGCTTGCGGTGAGTGGCACGAGGAGTTTGTGCCCGAGGCTTGGCCTTGGCCTTCCCTGACCGTGGCGACGGTGAGGTACTCCCCGAGGCCGGCGTCGGGACCGGCGGTGCTGTCGCCGAGCTCAAGGTGCTTGAGGTCATAGCCCATCGTACGGCCTCGTCCCCGGCGTGGATCATATCTCCCTCGGGCTGGTCCAGCTCGAGCTCGGCCATGAGATCGTCCCATTCTGGGTCCGGAAGTGCTGCTCGCAGCTCCGCCGGGGTGGCCCTTGCTGCACCTTCGGTCGCCCCGCTTGTCATCGATGATGCCCTGGCATCGTGACTCGCCGCCGGCCTGCCCACCACTGCTGGAGCTTCTGTTTCTGCAGACTCGCCACAGAAAATAAGATTGGGATGCAGGCGCTCCGCCGGCGTCATGGGACGCACATGAATGGCAATCGCCGTCTGTGTGCTCCAGTCCCACGGAAGGTGGGTCACCGCCTGGCAGTTGAGCCCCAGCGCATCGCAAAGTGCCACCGATGCCGCCTGTGACGGGACCTGCAGGGCCTGAATTGGAAGAGGTGGAGGAGGTCCCCTTGGAGGGGAGCCCGGCCTGGGATCATGTGTGGGCTCGTCCTCCGACTCCTCCGGGCAGCGCTCCATGTTTGGGGGCTCCTGTACCCCTCCGTGGGATCCGTCCCTTTGCTGAGTGAACCAAAGCAGCAAGGCCATCATTTCTGACTTCCCTGCGTGCGGTTTCGCCCTGCTCGGTTTTCTCATGCAACACAAACCGGCTCTTAACGCATGGCTCCAATCATGCTGGGTCGGCCTGTGGATCGGCGACCGAACCACGTCGCAGCCATGGGGATTGGAGGCAGGCTGCTGTGACACGCTCAACAGTATGCCTGGTACTGCCACAGTAAGCCCGAGTATGGCCCCTAGAAAAACAGGCCCGCTCAGACATGAGGACAGGGCCCTGGCCATTGCTGTGTCCTGCTGGTTCGGCGCGGTCCTGAAGAGCCTGAAGGCACCCTTGATCGTTCGTCTGACGCCCTGGAGAGGTGAAAGACGAGGGGGGATCTCAATCCATGGAATCCAACCCTGGATCTTGCCGCAGGCATACCACACATAGCATTGCTTTGCAAAACTCCTGGTCGAAGCCACTAATAGCACGTAAAACATGGAGTCGATCAGGATCCCGTAAAAGACACCACCCCTCATAGAGCATGATGAATGCCGAGGCATGTCGCCACCGCCGGCAGCACCTTTGTCGAAGAGCCAGCTGGATGCCGACGTTCTGGTTTTGCCATGCAGACAGGAAGAATCGTTGTTCGAGGGTGCGCTGCACAAAATCCTCAAGAGGAGTTGCTTCCTGCCAGTTGCGGGGCTTTTTGTTGAATCCGTGTCCCACAGCGTCTCTGGGTGCCATGGCGATTTGTCGGGGGCCCTGAACTTCCAAAGTTGGTCACCTTGTCTCGTGAAAATCAGGACACCCCAAACCACAAAAGAAACCACAAGAGCAAGCCCCCGTCTCCACACGTCGACCCTCACAGGGGTCATCCGGGTCGTTTCGACCCTCCGCTGCTTCGAAGCCGAGATGCTTATACATACATACATACATACATACATACATACATACATACATACATACATACATACAGATATCAACATCATCATCTTCTTCTTCTTCATCATGAACAACAACATCATCATCATCATCAGAATGTGATAAGAGTAGGAGTACTGAAGCCACACAAAGCCTGCACAAACTACGTGGGCCTTACATCGGGCATTGAAGGAGCAGGTCGGGCTGGGGAATTCGACTTTAGGGTTGAGGGCGGGGAGCCTGGGCTTCAATTCAAGCTCAATAAGAATTCGCATGTGTAAGATGTAACCTGCAGTACAAGCTCCGGGGCCGAGGGGTGGGAGTGTACTTCCGGCTCAGCACCGAAGGTGCCCTTTCTTGTAGCTTTGGGGTTCTCTTGCAGGCGCCTCTGCAGTTTAGAAGAACACCTTCAAATGGCAGGAGACAACACAGCACGCACGCGTGTGCTTCAATTCGTTCAGTTGCGCAGAAACAGCATGTTCGATGCCCTTGTCAGAGGGTCCTAGAAAAAGAGTGTTGTGGTGAGTCGAGATTGGGTAAACGGGTCGCGAAAGGGCACTGGGGCACCCGACGGAACATCCTGCTTCACGGAGGATGTCTCGATGCTAAGGCCTCTAGAATCCAAGACAACAACTTATGAAGGGGAATCGGTAGACCATGAGTTTGCAGGCGGAGGCTTTTTTTCCTAACGAGGCCTCAAGGCCAGAGCTTAAGTCCTCGAGGCCGTCTTTGATTCCAAGCCCGGAAGCTCCGAACACTCGAATCCTCACCAGGAGCCCTCGTGCTGCCCGGTGTGGGTTTGTGGTTTGGGGTTGAGGCCATCCATTCGCAATATCTGACCCGACTATGCAGGGAAGCCTCGCCAACTCTTTCGTTAACGCTAGGCCTCAGGCCCTGAAGGCCTCTAAAGGCCTAGTTGGGTTGAGGGTCTCCTGCGGATTAGGAGCTTGGGAGTTCACTTAGGGCTCTCTGGCTTCAGGTTACTTAAGGGACTTAGGAGTTCAAGGCTTGAGAGGCTTGAAAAAGGGTTTATGACTACGGTACCCTGCCATGCTACGGGTTCAGGCAAGCCGGCGTTTCGAAGGGCTCCGGAGTTGAAGATAGCTTACTTTTTCAAGGTGTGTCTGCGCCTGAGGGAGGGCTTCTTGGATGGGGGCAGGGGGTCGAATCGGTTAGTTATAGGTTTAGGGCTTAGGGTTCAAGGTTTAGGGTCTATAGGTTTCGGGTTTAAATGTGAAGGTCTAGGGCGCTTTTGTGACGCCCCCTGCACCGGAATTTGCCGAGGCGCTATCTCTGGATCCCGTGACGGCCATCATAGTTAGACAGCCGCGGGAAACTGATGAGCCCACCAGGAACCATGCAACGACGGGATTCGGGTGATAAAATACCGGGAGTTAGGGAACGGGGGTTTAGAGTCTAGAGTTTGGGAGTGTTGGGCTTGGAGTCTTAAAGCTTTTGCTTTCTCAGGGCTCCATGTTGGAAGCTTGAGAAGACTCTGTACGTCTACGTTTAAGGTTTTGGGTTTAAGGTTTAACTTTTTGATTTTAAGGTCTTGCTAGAAACCCTGAGGCCTCGGAACTCGTGGCAAAATGTCCACTTGCCAGTTCCATGAAGGCTTCCTTTAGCCCCCTACAGTAAACAAACTGAAAACCCTAAACCCCAAGTCCTAAGCCCCAGACCCTAAGCTCAAAGCTTTAAGAACTCAGCCCGAAACCCTGGTCTCTAACTCCTACCGCCCTGGACCACAAGCGCCACAAGCCCTAAACCCCGAACCCTTTGACGACTTTACACCTGATGCCCTCCTACCAAGACAAGCGCTTCTCGATGCGAGTGAACTGCCGCGCTGCCGTTCTACGACTAAGAACATAGGGCGATGAACATGCATGCATTCATGAGGGATCTTTTGTTATACCGGCCGAACCTTGGTCTTTCGTGGCCTTGTCCATCAGGTCCAGGGCCAGAACGTCCCATGGAAAAAGGCGCTGTGTGATGAACAAAAGTCCTCTTTGGCCCGTTGAAATTTCATGCAACGAAGAACAAACTCCTCAGGCTTGCATAAGCTTTGCAGTTTGGGGTTCAAGACAGAAAGAACATGCGTGACGGCATCAGCTTGCTGATGAAAGGATACGTAGCGGCCAGGGGTCCCAGATCTCACAGCATTACTACTGCACACTGGTGGCGGAATCAAACAGATCAACCCAGCTCATGCATTCTTCAATATTTGCACTTTGCAGGATTTTGGACTCACCGGTTTACTGACACTCGCAGGGTTGTCCGTGGTTCAAGACCGCGAAAACACATTCATGGACGGCCGTAAGCAGAGCCAGTGGTGTTGACGTTCGATGGGCAGCATCCCCGTGCTACGCACGCGCATTCCCACCTGCAAGAACTGGAAGGACTACACGTGCATGGTGGGGCAAAACAACCGGCTGTCGGACTCCGGAATACCTCATTCTGCCGCAGACAGAAGTGCGATGCAGCAAAAAAACTGTGCAGTAACAGCTGCATGCTTCCGGATAGCCGACGACCATCGGGCGTGCTTCACACACTGCCAAAAAAAAGGAGCGCTGCGAAGAGACATCTTCGTCGTAAGCACTCGAACTGAAGCGGGGACCCAGGAAATGACCCCAGACAGGAACGCGGCACAGACGCAAAGCAGCGAACCCTCAACCTGTAAAGCCTGAGACCCTAAATCGAAGTCAACTCCAAGCAGGAGTGTACTCTCAAGTTTCTTAGCTGCGCTCTGCATCCCGGCATGACGACACCCACACATGTGCAATTCTTCTGAAACTGGAGACCCTCAGTGGCAAAACCCCCGCAGAGGCCTTTAACACCCTTTCAACAAATGGTTTTTGGGCTGAGTCTTCCCAAGATGAGGAGCGTGGTGCGGTGGTGCCGATGGTGCTGCTGGTGTCGATGGCGAGATGGTGCACGTGTCGTGTTCTCTGTCGCTGTCTAAGCCAAGGGATGGCTCAAGGATGCCAACGTTTGCGATTGATGGGTTCAGCTTTCCTGCAGGCTATGATACGACCCGATGGCTTCCCGAAGCTGCATCTGTGATTGTGTGACTGTCGATTGCTCTCAGTGTCTTTCATGCTGCGCCCAGCATGTCTAATCAAAACCAGCCTGAAATGCACTGCTGCCTCCTGCTTCAAACAAAACACCCCGAAACCCCGCAACTCCTGGGTCCTTTCAAGCTACAAAGAAGGAAAATAACTCGGCGCATACGTGCACAAGTGCTGTATCAAAGCTCACGTCTTTTGCAGCCTAGTCCTCACTCGTCTGCCTCCGCTTTGTGACGATGTCAGCGAAGACGCCTGGATATCGCTCCACATCCTTCTTGAACTTGTTCATAGTCTTGAGATGTCTTTCATGCAGAATCCGATTCGGCGCCCGGGGCACACTTCTTGGAAGGTCGGAATTCCAAGTTGCGGAGTCCCAGGACGATTCGATCAGGCCCTGCGGCAGCTGCGGAGGCAACTGGTGGCCCTGATATGTCGACTTCGGCGGTTTCTGGGCCTGGTGTGGATGGACCGGAATTCCTGCTGCACAACCCATGGCTCAATCGACACAAGTGCTTTCCTCAGGAATGCTTTGGTCGGCGCTTGTTCTGCTGCTTCGAGCCGCAAACTGATGCAAAACAGATCAGTCCCTGAGCGCCTACACGACCTGAAGCCATGAAAGACCTACTTAACTATCATTATGCCACCGTACTATGTCTCTCTGCAAGAACAAGTGTTTACGGTTAGGGGACCCTAAATCCAGAATCCCAGGTTCAGTCCAGCCAGCCAGGTTGGGAAGAGTCAACCCTAATGTGTTGGCCTTGATAGTTTAAGTAGAGTTGAATTTGGGGTCTGTAGGGTTGGCTTGTTGTAAAGGTTTGATTGGGTTGTATGAGGGCCTTGATGTTTATTAGAAGGACAGAAAAAGGGTAATATTAGTACAAGAAGGAGTAACACTGGTCCACAAAGTTGGAACATAGAAAAGGGAAGTATGATGCACCTTCAAAGGGATATCATGGTTCCAACTTGCTGGCTTCCGCGCCCACCTACCAGCACTATACGGTGTACACTGCAATTTCTGTATGGTCTAGCAAGGCTCAGGCTCTGAAGGGTTTTAGGGATCATGGCTTGGGGTTTGTGGTTGAATTAGGGTGGATCTTGGTTTTCAGCCCTCTTTTCCATCAGCTCTTGGGTCTGAGTCTGAGTCAGAACGTCCCATGGAAAAAGGCGCTGTGTGATGAACAAAAGTCCTCTTTGGCCCGTTGAAATTTCATGCGTCGAAGAACAAACTCCTCAGGCTTGAATAAGCGTCGCGGTTTGGGGTTCAAGACAAAACATGCGTGACGGCATCAGCTTGCTGATGAAAGGATACGTAGCGGCCAGGGGTCCCAGATCTCACAGCATTACTACTGCACACTGGCGCCGTTCGCATTGGTTGAGCAGTCTCATGAATTCTTGAATACTTTGCAGGATGGGAGATTCGACGGTTTACTGGCAGTTGCAAGGGGTTCTGACAAAGCTCCAAAAAACACGGACAAGCGGATTCTCGACAGCAGAGCCAGTGGAGTTGATTTCCAGCCGTTCTGATGGGCAAGCAACATCCCCGTGCCAAGGCACATTCGCACCTCCATTCCACCTCTGGAAGGATTGCACGTGAGATGGCAGGGGCAAAAAGAAAAGACTTTCGGACTCCGGCATGCGTGATTCCAGGAACAAATTGGAGGGCTACACAAAAAAGGGCAACACACAGGGTGACGGAGCGCAAAAGAGAGCGCACTGTTTAGTAGCAGTTGCTTGCTTCCGGATAGCCGATGGCCCTGAAGAGTGCTTCGCACTGTCCAAAAAGAAGGAGCGCCGTAAGCACTCGAACTTAAATGCGGACCCGATCGAAGTTCCAGGAAATGCCCCATGCCGGCGGTGCTGGGTCCATGGTTTGGACAGTTACGAATTCTACTGTGACAGGTATGGCCAAAATATGATGCCAACTTTGGCGATTGATTCCGTTGGCATGTGATGCAGGCTACTGCGATGACGGGAACAACAACCAAGCCGATGATTTCCCAAAGACATAGCTGCGATTGTCCGACTGCCCTTTCATGCTGAAATGCATTGTTGCTTCTTGTTTCCGAAACCCCGCAACTCCTGGGTCCTTTCAAGCTACAAAGAAGGAAAATAACTCGGCGCATACGTGCACAAGTGCTGTATCAAAGCTCACGTCTTTTGCAGCCTAGTCCTCACTCGTCTGCCTCCGCTTTGTGACGATGTCAGCGAAGACGCCTGGATATCGCTCCACATCCTTCTTGAACTTGTTCATAGTCTTGAGATGTCTTTCATGCAGAATCCGATTCGGCGCCCGGGGCACACTTCTTGGAAGGTCGGAATTCCAAGTTGCGGAGTCCCAGGACGATTCGATCAGGCCCTGCGGCAGCTGCGGAGGCAACTGGTGGCCCTGATATGTCGACTTCGGCGGTTTCTGGGCCTGGTGTGGATGGACCGGAATTCCTGCTGCACAACCCATGGCTCAATCGACACAAGGGCTTTCCTCGGGAATGCTTTGGTCGGCGCTTTTTCTGCTGCTTCGAGCCGCAAACTGATGCAAAACAGATCAGTCTGAGAATGCAGTCCCAGATTCCCAGACCTGTAATCTACACAAGTGAAGCAGGTCAGGGAAGAATGCCGACAAAAACTGCCTGAAACCACAAGTCATCGCTTTGTCGCACGTGCACATGCAGAGTTTGTCTTGTTTGCATGCGTGAAACTTCTGGGACTTGCTCTACTCGCGCTTTTCACGAGCTTCGGGCGTACCTCCACCTTAGGAGTGCGTCAAGTTTTTTGTTCAAGGTTCGTGATTTCGCAGTTTACTTACTCGGTCATGGGACTTGGCATCTATGAATGAGGTAACTGTAGTTATACTGGGTTTATAGGTACAATCATATACATCTTACGATGTCAGCCGGCCAGCAGTGCTCAGGTGGCACGCGGACCGATGGTGTAGCCTGCCGGGGACAATGGTTAGGTTGGTGTTCGCACAACAAGTTATACGTGTTCGTACAGGTTAGGGTTTGGGGTTTAGGATGCTACAGGGCTTTGGGGAATGGTTAGCTTCACGCCATATCCATGTGTGGAGGGCCCCCGATGTCATGGGGTACCCACAAACGGCTTGCAGTGCTGAGGTGGAGGCGTAGGGTTCAGAAGCCCAAAGCTTTGACGGGTTGCTGACAAAGCCAGAGTGTCAACACCCGCCCCAAAGCCCGAGCCATCTCTTCCTCGTGCCCCTGACAAACCCCCCTCCCTGCCCGCCTCCATCGCCTGTGGCCCGGTAGCATTTTCCACTCAGATCCGCCTTGATGGCCTCGGCATCCCAAGCAGCTGGTTAAATGCTAGATCTCGAAGCACCCATGGTTTAGTCTACTACGAGCTACCGCCTCATAACATCTCAACCAAAACCCCGAGACTTCCCTTTTCGAAGCTCCCCAAGCTCTTGACCTAGGTTTTCAAGCACCCAGAACATGCGAAAGCCCGGGAAAGCTTCGCACAACCCAAACCCGAAAACAGAGTCGCATGATCCTAAGCCCAGAAACCCATCTGATATTGTCAGAAAAACACGGGAATAGTGGAATCCTTTCAGCAAGGACCCTTGCATCATATGGGATGTTCTCTAATTACCGTCCCCCTAGGGTCCTCTTCATAGAAGTGCCGTACTTTTTGTGGACCTACACAAACCAGAACTGAAATATTCCCCTTAATCCTCAGCCCAGGTCGTCTCTGAAGCCGAACGGCCCGAAACAACCACAACACGGACCCCCCCGCCCCCAGTGTAACGCAATGAAGGAAGGGGGGGGCACCTCCTCGAGTTCCTGCAGCTCTTTCTTTTTGTCCTCAGTCGAGCGGTTTAGGGCTCTCTTGACGAAAAGGTTTGGGGCTTGAAATTTTAGATGTTGCGGCCTGGGTATAGGATGTAAGGTCTTTGGGGTTTAGGGTTTAGGGTTTCTGGTTTGGGGTTACGTGTTTGGGGTTCAGGGTTGAGGATTTCTGTAGTCATTAGGGTTCAGACAAGGCTCAGGGTGGAAACTTAAAGATTCTTCACTTGTGGATTAGGGCCAGGTCTTCGGTTTAGGGCTTAGGGTCTGAGCATCCCAAAGTCGATAAGAACTACAGACTACCAAACACCTCGAAAGACAATCTCCGGGAAACCATAAGTCGGACTTAAGACCTTAGAGCGGATTGCGTGCAGGATTTTTAGTCGAATGTCCTGGGAACGATTGTCTGAGTATTCCGATCCAAAAGCTGCGGAGCACCCTCTCGGGCTTTGGGTTCCTGAACCCTGAGAGCACTCCGCCGTGAAATCCGGAAACCACAATCTTCCGCCCTGAACCTGTGCCCCAGGGATCCTCATCCTCAACCCTTAAGCCTAAACTCTCCTTACACTCTAAATCGCCAGCCCAAACGCCCCAAACCCTCAACCCAAAGCCCTAAGCCCAAAGCCCAAACCCTCAACCCTAAGCCCTACACCCCAAAACTTCATCCCTAAAGTAGGCCTCAATCTCCTTTGTGAGGGCAGCAGCGCGCTTCACGAAGTCATCAACTTCCACCTCGCTTCCCAGCAACGGCAAAAAAGAAACACTCCCCCCCTCCTCCAGATGACCGTCGGTCAACTGCATAAGCGTTCCTTCAGCGTTCTTGCTGAAGTCGTAGGCAATTCTAGTCCTGCGTTCCCCTGCATAAAACCAGGCCGTACTTGGAGTGCCAGATCCAGTTTAGCTACGTGTTTTATTCAGGGTGTTTCCCTCTATATACGCCAACGGCTTCCCAGACCCTAAATCGCAGACACAGGAGTCTAAAGCCTAAGCCCTAAACCCCACATAGGAGTTTCTGCGGGTCTTCCGCGAGATGCTAGGCCAAGCAGTGACGGAAGAAACCACAATGTGCGGTAAAAAACCCTCGGCCCTACGTTGTGGAGTCCTACGTTCCTCAATGCTTTTCGGGTTCCTGGTTCGGTGGGGTGCTTTCCTTTTTGCTGTTGGTGCCGGAAAACTGTTTGTTCGCTGTCGCTGCCGGGGGGTGTGTTGTTTTGCCGTTGGTGCGAAGGGGGAGCAAGGGGTGGTGTTGTTTTTGCTGTCGCTATTCGTGGGGGGGGGACACATGGACAGCAACGGCAAAACAAAAACAACAGACACACACACACACACACGCAGACACCTGTTCGTCATGCGGAGGTTTCATGTAGCAGCCAAGTCAACTGTTGCATCACCAGCTCTTGTAAACACCACCTCATCTCTCAATTGTCAATCAAAAGCTCCGGACCCAAAAACCTAAACCTCTAAGACCCCCAAAACCGGAATACACTATAGGAATCTCAGAGCATTCGGGACCCAAACAAGCGCCAAAAAATCCTCACTGTAAACAACCATAATTCGTGACCCTTTCTGTTGAGATTCCCCCCATACTTTATGTCCACATGTACCAAGGGCTGGACATACTCCGCATTCGTGCCTCGTGGGCTTGATTCCGTTCAGGGATTAGGGTTTCGGATGTTGGGGCTAGGATTTAGCAAATTTAGGGTTTAGGGTCTGGGGTGCAAAGTTGAGGGTTTAGGGTTTGGGCTTTAGCGTTTTGGGTTTAAGGCCTAGGGAAGTTTAGGGTCTAGGGTTTGAGACCCCAGTTCCAGGGTACCGGCACCGCCTTCTCAACCTCAGATCCCAAGAGTCCTTTACATGTCCCCGTAATCCGTAACCCCTGCACCAACATCTCAAAGCTGCGGCATTTCGGACCACTACCAGCACTTACATGAGAGGGTGTAGAAATAGAAGGAAGGGCTCCACAAGCAGATGCAAATCGCGAAGGCCCCTCTGTGAAGGTTTACAAGTTACAAGTCAGGATGTCGGGTTCAGGACCAGGATGAAGGATTTGCAGGTTTACGGTTCAGGCTTGAGCACATTGGGTTCAGGGCCTGATTCTTGCTTCGGAGTTTGGGCTTTTCTGGTCTAGGGCCGCGAAACGCATGGGCCCCGGGCACAAAGCGATCGCCCTGCTGGTGACGCGGTAAGCCGCGCGCTTGGCGTCCTGCGGCTTTGATATGGGGGTCGCGCTGCTTCAGTGCTGCAGGGTGCTGGGTTTGGGGCTTTGGGTTGGAGCATGGGAAAGGAAATCTTGACCCAGAGAGAGCCTACGCTACAGCTATGGCAGGTTTTCAGGGTGTATTTGTTGGTGTACAGGTCCTGGCTTTCATAACCCAAACACATAACCCTGACCCCCTCAAGCTAGGCCAGGGTTCACTGCACACAGACACCAAGCCATTTCGCAGGAACACTGCAATCCCGGAACCCTCGACTCTCAAAACCCTGGAACCACAACCCTGACACTACACCCGGGCAACAAGACATAAAACCTCACGAAGCGCAAACCCTCAACACCTGATAAATCCCCAACAAAACTACCGAAACTCCTTCAGGCCCCTTGGCAGATCATTTCAGGATAGACTCAAAACTCGAAACGGCTGAAAGCCGCCTCAGCTCTAAAGCCTCAAAGACTGCACAAACACAAACCCCAATGTTCACAAAGATACAGGACACCAAAGACAACCTTTTGTCCTCCGGGAGTCGATTCCCGGGCCGGTTCGTCCTCGGCCAGGCTTCGGCTTGGAGTCTTCGTTTCGATGCACTCTCTCTCTTGATGAGTAGCTCAGTATTTTGGCTGTGATTAGGCTCGAGAGATATCAGTGTCATGAATACCGTTTCAACTAATAGGTGTCACATTATGATGACTTGAAGATTGGCGTGACTAGCAGACTGCAGCAGAATGAATGTTGTTATGATATGCTATGCATAATATGATGCTGTTGATCGCGCTTAAGGTTTTGATTATGCTTGTTAGACATTTCAGTAGTGTCATGAATACTGCTTCGACTAGTCTTATGATTCGTGATATGATTACGATTACGATTACGATTAGGGTGAACAAGCTCTGAGACCTGTGTGGGAGCACCGGCCCCAGAAATACAGCTAAGAAAATTGCATAACCTCAGACACTCGTACCAAAGACCTTTAAGCGCATATGTGCTGAAACCCCATGAGCAAAGCCAACAAGCAACATGCCAGTCCGAATAGTCTAAACAGCCTGCAGCTGGGCAAAGTAATCCGATAAAGCCCCTGAAACATGCACAACGTGACTCCAATCCTCGTCAAGCTGCAGGGTCACACAGGGAAGTCCCTCCATCCATCCATCCATCCATCTATCCATCCATCCATCCATGCATCCATGCATCCTACAACGAAACCCCTTTTATCATCTTAGGCCATTGCAAAATTTGATAAGCTTACAGATGGACTTCGTGCTCTAAAAGCCTAATCAACCTGGACAGCAGAACCCGGCAGGCGTAGGCAAGCCGCACGCTCTGCAATCCCCAGGCGATCTCCTGAAGCTTCCTCAGAATCCAACATGGATCGACAATAAACGGCTTTCGGAACAGTGATCTGTGCAGGATGTAAAGAGAGTGCTTGAGGGCTTGAAGTATGTTTTGTTGCGTTTGGATTTGGTATAAGGGCTCAATCGCAATGTGCCCACTGCGAATGCTGAACCGGGATGTGGAGGGAAAATCAAAGCAGGTTTCGAAGTAGGATTGAGATTTGGGGCTTAGGGCTGGCAGGGTTTAGAGAGTTGGTAGGCCTTGTAGGCCTTGTACGGTTTAGGATTGAAGGTCAAAGATTTACGGTTTGAAAGCTTATTGCTCATACAGTTTACGGTTTAGGGTTTACAGGGTGTCGGGACGGCAAGGAATGTTTCGAAGTGGGAGGGGTCGCTAGTTACTAGCCCAACCTCTACTGAACGTCACAAAACTAGCAACCAGCGATACACTTTACACATGATGTAACTATAATCATGATTACCTACAACGCCAACTTAATGTACTTGCCACCATCCTTACTACGTCACCTGATCCTTCCAGCAATGGATTTTGGTTATGTGCTTGTTTGAGTATATGTAAAGCCCTCTCCCGAACCCAAACCCCATCGGAGCCCGGCTTGACCCGAGGATCATTCTCCCCGATTGTCTCCAGGGCCAACTCGGCAGGGCACGATAAACCATAGCTACGGGTGCAATAAGGGTGTAAGGTTGGGGGTGTGGCTTCCCATTTCGGGTTTCGGGTTAGGGTTAAAGGGCGTCATATATGCGCTTCAATCCTGAAAACGAGGTTGTTACAGGGGCCTCAACAATCAGAGTCGAGTAGTGTTTATCAGATTCTACCGGGCTTGTATAAGGACCTGAAAAACAAATAGAGTCTTATGAGTTGCTACGAAATTTTGCGAGGCTTCATGCCGGGGTTTTAACAACGAAGCCAACGTTTCGAAGGTTATTTCCACAAGACCTGCAGATCGAGTGTAGGAGTATATTGTTGCTAATCGTTCAGCTCACGGGAGCTAGGTTCATCAGACTTTCTACGGGCTCTACAATGCGCCGGACAGCAGCTATAGAATTCTTGTACAAACCCACCAACTACGTCACATTTCAAAAACGAATGAGCATGATGACAATGTCCCACAGAAGGCCCTGCGTCGCCTCGTCCTCATCTGCAGCAGAAGGCATGGCGTCGACTCCGACCAGAACGCGGGATGTCAGATTTTGGGCTTATGCTAGAATTATATGCAAAATTCCTTCCAACCCCAGACGAAGACAAAGTCCGCCGGACTTCGTTACAAAATTCGGTCGAAAACCCTTATCAGACTTCCGTGGCATTGCTTTCGTGTTCAACGCATCTGCGATTTATGATGTTCGGTTGTGGGAGTTGGGGGTTGAATCTTTACGGTTTTGAACTTCAGTTCAAAGGAGCATGATCTGGGTTTCCATGATCCGCTTATGATCGCGTTCCTTCAAATTGCGTTCAGGCTCCTACGTCGGGATTAGGGTTTCGGGACGTGGGGTTTTGGTTGGTTCAGAGTGTAAGGATACAAGTTATGGTTTGGGGTCGTGGGTGCGGTTTTCTTTCCCAGATGCCCGATGTTTGCAAAAGTTCACGGCGTATGCAAATCCATGACTCGCCAAAGCCAGCGAAACTTCTTCCACAATACTGTCGATTCTGGCAACTTTGGCGACATGTTCCGGGCTTAGGACCTAAGGGACCCTGGAGCATCGGCAGTTTCGTTTGCTTGCCTGCCGAAATCTCTAGGGCCTGGAGGCAAGCTCTCAGCGCACAAAGAGTTCAACCTGGGACCACCTAGTTTTGTACGATGTTCTAAACCAACTATTGAGAGCCATGGACTTGTCGGCAAAAAGCCTCCTTCTAGAGGCCCAGTGATGGGAACCCCAGTTGCTGGTACAAGCACTAGAAGGACGCTAGAAGCTTTTTCTCTTGGCTCAAAATCACAGCAGGAAGAGATGTCAACTGCAGGTTCTTCTGCAAACTTGGCACGTGACCAACCACTTCTAGACCGCATGGGTTTTTCCGTCTAGATGTTCTCAAACCAACAAATTTCGAACCGGACAAGAGTTTTGGAATGGTTTGCGATGCGCGGCCAGTCTCGGCCCAAAACCAACAGTTTTGGTTCGAACAAGAAGTTTGGGAATGGTGTTGGCGCGGGCTGCCTTGTGGATTCCGCAACAACAACTCAATCAGGAATCCAGGCACTTTTCGCCCAAGTTCATCTTCAATCTTGGATTCTCAACCTTGTTTTGCTGGAATAAAACTGCACGCATTTCATATCTGCAGACAAAATTTCCAAATTCGACATTTTCCACTCCACAATGTGCAAACTGTGGTCGCAAGGTTCTTCCTTTGAATCCTGCACGCAATTACAGAGAACAGGGTTTTCGGCTTCCGAAAAAGACGGAACTACAACCAAGCCCCAGCAACGCACTCAACCAAGCACAACACTCGGACAGAGTCTTCGTTTTACCTCACTCGGCCACGCAGTTCCGGTCTTAAGCCAACGTAGGCACAAAGTCTTGCAGCAAACTAAAGGCGCAAACTACCGACAGGTGGTTTGGAGCTCTAAACACTTCCCCTAAGGCAAAACGGCCCTCAGGTACTACCAGACTCCTCTAAGCAAAGGAACCTACAGAGACTACAGCTCTAAAGCGAAAAGTGTCCCCTCACACTCCAAGTGGAAGGAAACTGGCTGTAACTTGTTCTGGTTTCCACAATCTTAAAAGAGTTGAGCCGGACGCCCACGTTTATCCCTCAGACAGGGATAACTGTTTACACCCCCTTTGGGCGTACGGGTCAGCCATCCTTCTTCACAGCGGCTTTAAGCTTGGAAGGCTCCCGTGCACAGAAACTGCAAATCCTGCGACTAAGCGGAGTAGTATGGCGAATGCTAGGACAATCACGCTTGACGTGATAGCAAACACCCCTTGCGGTAAGGAAAAGTCCTGGCTTTGCCAAGAAACGAGCGTCTAGGTACTGACCAACCCCGAGGAAGACGCACCCTACTAGAAACCCTGCGGCAAAAGCGACAGCGAGTAGTCTCTCCAGGAGCTGCTCACCATCCTGCCGAGTGCCCCAACAAAATCCACAGATCACAAGTTTGAGTCCTGGCACCCT